CTTGGGCATAGGATTTTAGGTTAGAAAATACTTTCTGAATTTCAAAGGCATTGCTCTGTTCTAGTTTCAAATTTTTCCTTGGTCTGATACCATTCTAATTACTGATCCTTTACATGTGACTTTCTTTTTTCTCTGTGGAAGAGTTTAGGTTCTTCTCTGTATCTGATAATCTGCAATTTCATGATACCTTAGTATGATTTTTTTTTTTTTTTTAAAGAAAACTAGCCAGGCACACTGGACATAGAGAACTACCATAATTCAGATACTGGATCTCCGAAAAACATAGCAGGTTAGGGTGTGGCAAAGCTGGCTGGGGAAGTGGGGGTGACATGTGGATTCCAAGACCCGGAACGCGTGCAGAGAAGAGTTCCCAAAGCCCTGCATGTGGACTTCTCCCAAGAGTGGGAGCAGGTTTTCAGTAGCCCGGCCTAGACCTGGCTCAGCCTGAGGCGTGGGACCTTTTACTCGGCCCCAGCTTGCGCTGCAGAGCCAGTTGCTGCCTCGCCCTTCACTTCCACTTTCTCAGATAAGTGTTGCACTGCTTTTTGCTCATTTCATTCACTTCTTTGTGCAAGATGTGAAGAGCCTGGAATCCAGCTCGAGAAGGAAAGGTGAGCAACCCAGAACCCAGTAACATTTGTTTGGCAAGCCTCTTTTAGGAGCTCTCTGCTACATTGGGACCTTTTGGTAAAGCTGTTGAGTGCTTGTTCCTCAAAAAGTCCGTGTCTTGCTTTCAGACTTTCTCAGCAGTGGCTGGCACAGAACGCCAGGTACACGTTTTACCTCAGAGATTGGCGACTTTAATCTCCTAGACTTCAGACACCACTGATGCGGATGAGACCACTGCCGTCGTCTCACGGGGACTCACTTTTTCTGTCTCTGACAGGTTTTAGATTCTCTCTTTTCTTTAGAGTTCATCCTGCTGTCAGGGCACCTCCCCATTCTCGCCTGGAAGCATGGCTGTCACCTCTGATTCTGCCTTCTCTACAACTCTGTGAGACTGAGGCGCTGCTCCCTGTGCCAAGAGGGCCGCTGCTTTGTATGTTTTAAAGAGAAGGTCGCTCCATCCGCTTCTGGCTTACCCATCAGAAGCTCATGTGCTTTGTGTGTTCAAAGAACTCTTGATAATCACTGGGCTGATTCTGCCCGCCACTCTCATCTGTGCTATAGGTTTAATCTCCCTGGTGAGTCCTGTAATGGGAAGGGGAATTTGGGAAGAAAGGGTAAACGTGTATCAGTCCCCTGGACCTGGAAGTTTCCCTTCTCCTTCAGTGGCTCATCCTCTGATTGCTTCGTCCTCAGAGTGCCCTGCCCGGGCCTTGCTGTTTTGGTTTTTGGTTTTTTGTTTGTTCTTTGAGACAAGGTCTCACTGTATGGTCTAGGCAGCCTTGAACTCACTGTGCAGCCCAGGCTGGCCTCTAAAACTGAGCAGTCCTGCTTCAGCCTCCCCAGTGCCGGGATTATAGGTGTGAGCCATGCCCAGAAATTTGCAATTGTTTGTGTGAGCCTTCCCTAGAATATTCTTAGAGGGCAGAAATTAGTTTTATTTTATATCACCTTGGCATGCCTAGAAAAGGTGACTGATGAAAATCTTTATGCCAGAAGACACCCAAGCAATTGTAATTATTGGTGCTCATGCTAAATTATGACATTCTCAAATCAACTGAAGCCAGATTTTAAGAGACTCATGCATTTATACTTCATCTTGAGGTTTTTTTATCCCCAGCCTCTTTTTCCTTTCTCTTTTTTCTCACGTTTCAAAAAGATCATTGTCCCTAATTCATTTCCTCTTCTTTCCTGGTGAGTATATTTATTTTTGTTCAAATTACTTTCCATATGCACATTTGAAAATCAGTTTAATAATTGATTCTCAAGTCCATAAATCATCATCGAGTGCCTATGGAAAGGACCCTAACACTAAAGTACTCATTAAAAAAAGAATGCCAAGAGGTCTTTAAATACTTTGATCTTTATCTTTAAAAATAAAAAACCTGGTTCTTCATTAATCACTTGGACTGTATGTTCCAGTTCTGAGCTGTTTTCTAGGACCCTTGTAGAATTAATAACAAGCTTTTCAAAACTCTTATTTAAGTCTTCCAGCCTATGAAATATTTTCAAGAGTAGAAATAATGAAATACCACTTAAGTATGAAAGTAATTAGTGCTCATGTGCTAAAAATTAAATGCATGAGGAGGAAAATGGATGTTACACAACTCCGTTTTGTTACCTGTGATAACACACATTGGAACCGTGAACGCACATAGCTGCACTGCTCTTAGTAGTTACCACACCTCTTAGTTCTCAAGGATTTCTTGTTCCATTTTCAGTGAAATTTTCTTCATTCTCTGAACAGCCCAGGAATTTGGGGTTATTTTCTAGTCAAACAAGTGAAGAACTTTTACAAATGTGAACAGAAAGTTTATTTTATAAAAATTTTAAGTAACATTGCAAAGTACTCAGATATATCTTCAAATATTCTGCTTTATAAATCTTTTTAGTAGCTTACAATGTGAATACTGAACCTACAGTTGAGGTTGCTAGCCTTGATGCGCTTCAGATTTTTTTTTGAATTTCTGAAGAACTTAATTTTCCATAAAAATAACTGACAGTTGAAAGAATATATGGCGAGGAATATTGCTCCTCTGACTTTTCCACGTCCCTTAAGATTGCTGCTGTCGGGGCTGGGGATTTAGCTCAGCGGCAAAAGCGCCTGCCTGGCAAGCGCAAGGTCATGAGTTCGGTTCCCGGTACGGGAGAAAAACCAAAAAAAAAAAAAAAAAAGATTGCTGCTGTCATTCTGCCATTACATTAATGCCAACAATATGCACTGTAGTAAACCATTTGTTAGTGAATAGCTATGTAATATAATTGAAAGCAAACTTTATACAGGTTAAATCTCAAGACCCAGTTCTCCAAAGAAATATTCCGAATTTAAAATCTGTTTCAAAACTGAAGCAGGCTTAGCCTGTACAGGACTGACCGGCATAGTCAGGCTTTCCACCGAAAGCAGGTCCTGTCTGGGAAGCCCAGGTGTGGTTCGTGACTAACTGCAGAGTAAGTTTCATCGCAGGTCCTTCAACAAGCCATTTTCCCTTGAGCTCCTGATGCTCCAGTCGTGAAGCAGGCAGACTACGCCTTCTCTGCTGTGTGTGTGATCAGAGCATGTGCAATGAAACCTGTGCCTTCTACCATCTAGGCTGCCTTCCACCTCAAACAAACAAGATACATTCACACACACCCTGGAGGAAAAAAGTACTATAGTGAGCACCCTTCTGCTAAATTTGAAGTTGGACCCTGAAAGATTATTTTATTCAGCCTCAGGCTTTAAGCCTTGGAAAAGATCTTAGATCGGAATGGTGATAGAATTTTCATAATGAAAGCAATTGTTTTATTCATCGATGCCAGAATTTTTCTTCATGAAAATTACAGCATTTAAAGTAAATCTGTGGACTGTTCTTTTCAATTAACTGAACAAAATTGCTCCTCCAAAAAATATTCCAGCATAGCTGTTGATTTATCATTACAAAACTTCTTACAGAGGGACCAGGGATATAGCTCAGTAGCGCAGCCCCTGCCTGGCAAGCGTGAGGTCCTGAGTTTGATTAGAGGTCCCCCACCAAAAAAAATGCTTATGGAAATTTTAAACAACTTGCCCTGTGGGACATTATTTCTGTAATTTACTTGAAATTATTTCACAACTTATGGAATAACATATGGGAAATGTATATGTGAGAAAAAAAAAAAAATATATATATATATATACTTTTTAAAATGAAAAGCTTTTAAAGAGATTTATGGAATAAGATAAAAATGTGCAAGACAAAGCATGGAAAGCCTTAAATAAGAATTTATCACCACAAAGTGGACTGGAACCGCGTGGTCGTAATTCTCTTGCAGACAGACGTAAGGCCACGGGAGCTTTCGTGGTGGGTCCTCGTGTTGGGAGAACCAACAGACACCTCTGTCCTTGAGAATTAGCCCCTCCGTTTTCTCCCAGCTCCCCCACTGTGTGGCCGTGGCACGGGCCCCCGGAACCTCAGCCAGTGTTCGAAGGTCCGTAAGTGTTGAACACAATATTTAGCACGTGTATAAACAGAAAGCTCGACGTGGCAATCTATATAAAAATGAAACTGTGAACAGCCGGACAAGAACACTGGGCCACACGCCGAACTTTTTTCCAGGTCCCTTGACATCGCGAATTGCCAATTGCTTGCCAGTGGAGGGTCTGGTTTCTGAAATGATAATTTGGAAATGTTACACTAAATGCAAACCAAGGAAGATTCTAACTTACAGAGTTAGAAAATGGAAGTTGTGGGTTTGTTAAAAGATACTGATCACAGAGTTTTGAAGTGCATTAAAAAATTTTTAAAACTTTTGGTGATCACTGAGGTTTCTTTTCCTTAGGATCTGTCAAAAGAAGTTACCAACTGATCCCTTATTTGAGGACTCCTCGTGTTGAGAGAGTTACCTGGGGTTACTCTATTTCTTTCTTCCACTGGATCTGAATAAAAGCACCACTTAAGGAAAATGGCTGTTTCGTGTATATTTTTATAAAATTAAGAGGGTCTAGCTGGGTAGGTTGGTTGCACACTCCTGTAATCCCAACACTGAGGAAGCTGAGTCAGGAGGGTTGCCCAAAGTTCAAGGCAAGTGGCTATATAGTGAGTTCAAGACCAGCCCAAACTATATAGTGAGACCTCATACAAATAAATAAGTCTAAACCAAATGAACTCTTTCATTTCTTTCCAACTCTTTGATTTTATAATAAAAAATGGGAAAAGCAGAAAGAGAACAAAGCCAGATTATTAAAATTATTATTTTTAAAGTTACTAGTACCTTAGCCAGGGGTTTAAACCGTTTGTTTATTGGGTACAAACTGAATTATAAATTCATTTAAAGTCAAAATATGGATGAGGTATTCAGGAAGATATTAAGTCTAAATATTAGGTTTCTTTTGATACGAATTCCTTACCCAGTTTATTATTCATATGGTGTATTCAATAAAGGCCTTTAGGCACCAGTGGCTAGTAAATTCGTATCATTACGTATTGAAGCATACAGTGGAAATAATGATGAACTAGAAAGGTCAGTATTTTAGTTTTTCCATCAGTATTTTGACCAGTTCTGCCTGACATCCTGAAAACCATAATCCATGTGTGACCTAAACTGGTCCCTGTCCAATAACTGTTCTAGAGTAAGTTGACTCTTCATTAAAAATGGCATTATCAGAGTAAACTGATAAATGAATACAGGGTTGGGATCCATTTCCAGGGTGGTTACATGTCTTTACAGACAGTTCTTTCCAAAAATCTATAGATTTCATGGGGTTATCACCCTGCGGAGCTGAGCCCGTCACTCTCGTGGCCGAGATTTCCTGAAGCAGCCCCATTGCACTGGCTCTGAGCGTGGGTGTGATCACCGGGCAGAGTGAGCAGACTGAGACCCTTCTCAAGCCAGACTGTGAATTCAAAATGATTCTTTTCAAGAGTGGAAAGAGTATTTCATGGCACATAAAAAGTCCTATGAAATTCCACCTTTGGTGCCCATATATAAACTTCAGTTAAGCCAGCCAAGGCTTCCATAGGATCTGGTCCTACTTTCCTGCCAGTGTCCGAGCTGAGGGGCTGTGACAACGCCATACGGGATACAAAGCTGTGCATGTCCACTCTTGGCATTTTACTGGGTAAGTCCTGATCTCTGTCTGACATAAGCGAGTATTAAAAATCACCCCTCTCCAAGACTGCAATTTAACTGACCCGAAATGGGATCAGGAATCTACATATTGTCATTATCTATCCTGAATGATTCAGATCATCAGAATATTGCTTTGGAGCAGTCAGGTTTTTAGTAGTCATTAGGGAGCCTGAACTGAACCCCAGTATGCAAAGAGACCCGTGCAGTTCTGCTCAGAGAGCCTCTGAGTCCTGCAGGGAAAGCCTAAGCCCTAGACTCGGGGACTGCTGGACAGATGAGTGTCCGCAATGCCCAAATCACGCCCTATGTCAAAAACTGGTCGGCGGCTCGGGACGCGAAGGGGCAGGTGCTCAGGGTAAGTAACAAAAATTTGAGTCCTCGGAGCCATTTCCCTCCCTTACCCGTCAGAGTCCTGACCATCTCCGGAGCAGCGAAGGCTCCGGGCATTCATAGCCGGAGGCTGACAGTCCACGCACACTGTGTACCCCTCTCGGAGATACTGCATCCAGCGGGTCAGCGGCCGCGTCTCCAGAGCACAGTGTGGAGTCAGGGACTCGGTCCTAAACTCCATGCAGTACCTAGAGCAAAACAGGGAAAGGGTTCACTGGCTGTAACTAGAGGTGGAAACCCGGCCAGCGCCAGCACGGAGTGGGTGCATCTTCGCAAGTGACACACCAGTCACACGGAGCTGGCAGTTTCTCATTTGCGGAACTACTACTCCTACGTACTACTGCAGAACATAAGAAACCTTTTCGCCTTTTCAGTCCGTGACTGATTATCTGATCAGCATGAATTTCAGATGTGGACAACCCATATCCTGTCCAACCAGACAGTTAAATTGCATATAAAAGCATATGTTTCAGTAGGAAACCAGCCCTAGATAATGTTGCAGATACTGTAAAGAACTACATAAATTGAAGGGGCCTTGTGTGAGCCTGAGAAGTCAGCTGTGAGCCCTGAGCGGGCTCGTTCTTGACACCCAGGCCAGCACCTGTGCTGTTCTGCCCCCAGAGGTTCCCAGAAGCCTTCCTGACAGTCACCACCTGGCCCGCCTGCGTGATCCCAGCTCCCGTCAGTGGACTCAAGCGCCAGAGTTCTGCCAGGCATTGCACGTGCAGGCAGAAATGGGAGGCTGGGTGACGTTTCCTGCGACAGCTTGGTGTCACCGTGTCCTGGGCTGTGGAAAATGCTAGCATTCATGGGACTGAAGTTCTCGGGATATCCAGACATGGTGAGTGTTAGAGTTCGTATACAAAAGCAACACAGCTCTCCAAGTCTTCAGGGGAAAAAAACAGTAAAAACCCCAAGTGTCACAAAAGAAACTTAGTGCGTTTTCAGTGTAATGGCCTAATTTTTTATCCATCCAGTAGTGAATTGTAACAGGTTAAATGGGAAGTATTGGGAGAATCTGCTCCAAAGATCTTTAACAGTGGCAGATACTGCTTATTACTAACTAAAGTTAACTAGTACCTGTAGTTATTGAGGTCAGAAACTCGACAATTCTGCATCAATCAACTTTGGACCAGACATCTCTGCAGGGCTATTTTCTTTTTTTTTTTTTTTTTTTTTTTTTTTTTTCTCCGGTACCAGGAACCGAGCTCACGACCTTGCGCTTGCCAGGCAGGCGCTTTTGCCGCTGAGCTAAATCCCCAGCCCCTGCAGGGCTATTTTCTCATTAGATGCTCTTATCAACCTAAGGGTTGGGTGTTAATACTCCTACTTCTCATGAGAAAAAAAAAACAACTGGGGTGGAACAGTTGTGGCTAGGGAGCATGTAGCCATCCAGTCTCTTACCTGAAGGCAGAAGAGAGGACCTCAGGTAAGCATGGGGTGCCTTCCAGTCTGTACCAGGAGGTTTCGGTAGGAAATCCCCTGAACTCGTGTGGGTCACTTACAAATTTACTAATAGACATGATGCTGGAGTCCATGACCATGCAGACTACGGAGGAACATCCTTTGTGTCCTTAAATAAGATTATGCTCATTTTTATGGAGCTATTTCTTGGCGATCAGATCTCAGAGACATAAATCTTTATAGACCCACAAGAAGAGGGAGGGCAGAAGTACTTTCTCAACTCTAGTGAAGACTCGTGTTTTACTGGAAGCCAGTGAAAAACTAACAGAAGAAAACAGCAAAGAAGTCTTTTGGATAGACTTCACTACGTGACTGGAAAAACATCATCATACTAATAAAAGTGCCACATTACCCAGGCTCCTCTGTGTGTGTAGACCACTGCGGAGATGCGGCTTGTCTTGTCCTCTCCTTGTTGAATGCAGAGGTAGTTATAAAGGCAGGGACTATAAAAGGGAAAATTCTGTTAAATCCTTTCAGCCAAAGGAGTCAGAACAGGATTTACCAACCCTGCGGTCGTGCCTGGCTAAAGGTCTCCGTTTCTGAGCCCCAAGACATTGGCGCCCCATCAAGCAGTGAAGTGGGGTTAAGCTACAAGTTCTGCAGAACCAAGTTACATAAAGGTTTGTGCACATGCAGAGGACACGGGACCGCAGGCCTCCGACAAGCACATTTGTCTGCAGTGGCAAAACTGACACAAAGGCGAGCAGCCAGGAAAAAAAGCCGCTAGGAAATAATAAAAAGGCATGGGAAAGTGAGACACAGAGATTGTAAGAGAAGCTAATACAGGAAAAGAAGTAGAGAGGGAAAAGAGGAAAAATAAAGTAAGAGAAAAAGATGAAAGAACCGGAGCAGTAAAAAGGAGTGGAAGGAGAGAAAACACCATCACAGAGGAGAACGGGCGGAAGGAGGCGTGGGTGCTCGCACAGCTCCGGGAGCCGCAGCCTGACCCTCTCCACCGCCCCCCACACAGCGCCGGCCGGGACGGGGAGTCCCCGTGCAGCCCTGGGCTCCGCCACTGTCGGTCAGAGAGAAGGGAAGGAGCCCAGCATCCGCCCTCCTCCCTCTGAGCTGTTTCGTCTCCCTTCGCTGATGGGTGGTGTGGCGCTGTCCTGGGGACTGAGCCCGGAGCCTGAGGTGTGCTAGGCGAGCACCGTGCCCCTAAACTACACCTCCAGCTCTCCGGGGCCAGGGGTGGGTACGGGAGACCGCGCCTCGTCTTCACAGCAAGCCACAGCCCCAGTCCTCTTGCTCTTTTTCTATTTTTTGAAGTGGAGACAGCTCTCGCTAAGTTGCCCAGGCTGGCCTCGAATTTCCAGGGTTCCCCCCAGACTCCCAAGCTGCTGGGGACACAGTTGTGCACTGCGACACTCGGCTCTTTTTCTGTTTTATTTGTGTACATGTGCCCGCTCCAGCCCTAAATGCAGGGATGCATCTTTGCTCTCTGTTGCGCCTGGAGGTGACTTCTTGATTCTACTCCGATGTCCTCTCAAGAAGACAGGGTTTGCCTTGGTCTTCACTAGTCCCTCACACATTTACACACCATAAATAGTTGTCCAGTAAATGCATGAAGAAAATCAGGGAATCTCCACCAAGGCACACAGTCCTATTTCCGCGTGGTCTCTGTTCCTATAAAGTCATTCCTTGTTATCCAGGAGTGTTTCTTCCCCGGAACCCCAGAGATGCCCAGATCCTCAGATGCTCAATCCCTTAAATAAAACGGCGCAGTTTCCGTGTAACCTGTGGACCTCCTACCATATGCTTCAAATCACCTCTGGATATTACTTGTAACACCTACTTCAACATAAATACTAATAAATAGTTGTGATACTGTGTTGTGGAGAGAATGGCATAGGAAAGCCTGCGCATGTTCTGTACAGAGGCAGTTTCCCCACCCCATGCTTGCAGTTTGTGGTTGGCTATTGGCCGAGGCAGACTCTCGATATGGAAGGCCGACTGTCCCGAGCCCTGCAATGGAGACAGCTCAGCAACCCTTCCTGCCTTTTATTTCCGAACCTGGACAGCCCCATGAAAGCCAGAAGCCGTTGATGGCTCCTGAGACGCCAAGGTCAGCATCAACGTGAGCAGGTCGCGGGAGGGCGCTGGCTGGGAAAGGACGCCCGAAGCCTGCGGGCTGCCGTGTGCGGCGCCTTGCTGCCACAAGGGGGCAGGCCTCAGTTCGCGTCCAGATTTTCTTAACGAAGAGTCTTCCTGCACTAGAGAATGTAAGACAAGAGCAGCCTAACGCCAAGCAGTCACTTGTTCGTAAGGCTTGCCGGCCTGGTTCCTGTTTCATGTGGTTTGGTGCTTAATCTCCCCAATACGAAAATTATCCACCCCTAGAGCAAACCTGAGAGTCCTAGCTTGTGGGGTTCTTCCTTGCTGCACTGACATGTTTAACTGTTGCCCAAAAAAGCAGGTAATGCTAAAAAAAAAAAAAAAAAAAGCAGGTAATGCTTTCTAAATGCAACTGTAACCTTTGCGTTTTGAAAATGCACAAAATTAAGAAGTGAGGGCGTGTGCAGGATTCTTGTCTCTCAGACCTAGTGATCAGCAACAAAAACAGCTAAAGGATTTTAGCTCCCCCATGTGTTTTTAATTCTGTTCTTTTGCCACGTCTGTGTGCTTATCCGCGAAGTGAAGAATAAATTTACTGCTAAATGCTTGCAACATCAGACTCATCAGACCAGCAAATTCTCAGGATGTGTTTCTTTTGTTCAAATAATTTCTGTGCTCTCCTAATTTGTACTGCATGTGTCAGTACAGAAGTTCAAGGGTACCAAGCTTCATGGACAGCTCAGAAAAAATGAGGCAAGGGATGCAGCTCAGGGTGGAGCCCTGAATTCAGTCCTCAGAACAGAACAAAAAATCGTTCAGGGCTCAATTGTAAATGCAGCTGAGGCTTTCAGCGCATGCGCTTCAGAGTCACCCTATGATAATGCAGATTGCAGAGTTCTGTTCTGCGCAGCCTGTTTCCCGTGAAGGGTACAAATTCCGACCTATTTCCCCTTTCTTTCCCAAAGCACCACCCTCCGTGTGAAGTCCGATTTCAGAAAGGAAACGGGAAAATTTCAACCTGTTACACTCCTAGGTGCCATCGGGCCCAGAGCGGGCACAGATTTGCCCTGAGGCGCGGTGGCCCCTCGTGTTTACAGCCTGTTCGCTCACAGTAATTTCTTTTTTTTTTTTTTTTT